TCCCCCAGTTTCTACCACTTGCACTGACATCCATCATTATGAAATGCTTTGAGAAGCTGATAAAGGACATTATTGTATCTAGCTTCCCGCCAGCATTTGACTCGCTTCAGTTTGCTTACCGACCAAATCGCTCTGCAGAGATGCTATTTCTTCTGTTCTTCATCTGAGCTTGGAGTACTTAGAGGAAAGAAATACTCATGTGTGTTTGTTGTTTGTCGACTTCAGTTCAGCATTTAACACATTCATTCCCCAGCATCTAGTAGACAAACTGGGCCCTTTAGGCTTAAACACTCCTTTGTGTAACTGGATTCTTGATTTTCTTACGAACAGGCCCTAGTACGTGCGAGCTGATACAAATATTTCTAATACCATTTTCTTGAGCACAGGTTCTCCTAAGGACTGCATCCTAAGTCTGCTGCTGTTCACCCTGTTGACCCATGACTGTTGTGCTAGGTTTGCCACCAACCATATTATGAAGTTTGCGGATGATACAACAGTAGTGGGCCTTTATTCAAGATGACAATGAGGGTGCTTACTGCAAGGAGATTAAGGGTTTGGTGAACTGATGTAAGGGGAACAGCCTAGTTTTAAACAATGGAAAAAACAAAGAGATCATTGTGAATTTCAGAAAAGGCAGGTACAGCCACACTTCTCTGTGCATTAATGATTCACCTGTGGAGATGGTTACCAGCATCAAATTCCTGGGTGTACAGTTAACAAGTAGGCTGGCTTGGTCACTCAGTAGCGAGACACTGGTGAAGCGAGCACAGCAATGGCTACATTTTTTGTGTTGCATGAGAAAAGCACATCTTCCTTCCCCTGTCCTTACCACTTTCTACAGAGGGACAATTGAGAGCATCCTGTCATACAGCATCATAATCTGGTTTGGAAGCATCACTACTTCAGACAGGAAGGTGGTGCAGAGTGTGATGAGGATGGCTGAAAAGATTATTGGCAGTTCTCTCCCTTCCATCCAAGACATAGCATATAAGTGTTGCTTGAACAGGGTCAGCAAGATTGTCTGGGACACTACACATCCTCTTCACGACCTGTTTTCTTTGTTACCTTCTGGGAGGAGGCTTTGTGATATCCGAAGCAGAACATCCAGATTCAGTCATAGTTTTGTTCCATACAGTATTAACCTTATGAACTCTAAAGCTTCCTCCTTCTGTTATGTATTTAAAATGGACAGTGATTAATATTTATATGTTACTTATATGTAAGGGTGTATGTCTATACATATGTTGTATATAGTATGTGATAGAATCAAAATCACGTGAAGTATTAATACCACTTTACAATGCCTTGGTAAGGCCACACTTGGTCACCACAATGTAAAAAAGTGGTTCAGACTCTAGAAAGAGTACAGAGAAGAGCAACAAAGATGATTAGGGGACTGGAGGCTAAAGCATATAAGGAACGGTTGCTGGAATTGGGTATGTCTAGTTTAATGAAGAAAAGGACGAGGGGAGAAATGATAGCTGTGTTCCAATATCTCAGGGGCTGCCACAAAGAAGAGGGAGTCAAGCTATTCTCCAAAGCGCCTGAAGGCAGGACAAGAAGCAACGGATGGAAACTAATCAAGGAGAGAAGCAGCCTAGAACTAAGGAGAAACTTCTTGACAGTTAGAACAATTAACCAATGGAACAACCTGCCTCCAGAAGCGATGAATGCTCCAACACTGGAAGTTTTTAAGAAGAGACTGGACAGCCATTTGTCCGAAATGGTGTAGGGTTTCCTGCCTGAGCAGGGGGTTGGACTAGATGACCTCCAAGGTCCCTTCCAACTTGATGATGATGATGATGATGTATGTGTACACTTTGAGAGCAAGCAACTAAATTTTGTTTTTAACATGTACCATTGTGCCCACAGAAAAAAATGACAATAAAGGTTATCTGTCTGTCCGTCCATCCATCCATCCATCCATCCATCCATCCATCCATCCATCCATCTATCTATCTATCTATCTATCTATCTATCTATCTATCTATCTATCACACCTGTTTCATCTTTCATACTCTATAGCAGGGTTTCCCAACCTAACAACTTCCAAGTATTCTGGATTCCCAGAATCCTCATCAATGGCTAATCTGGCTGTGAAATTCTGGGATTTAAAATACACACTTGGAAATGACTAAGGTTGAAAACACAGGAACTAGCAAGTATTACAATCATGACAGACTCTGCCTCTGTTCTCTCTGGAGATATTGCAACCTCTCCATATGTTTCTTTATTTCATATTATTCCAGCTTGGGAGGTGCCCAAACGGGGTGTGAGAGGAGGGGCAGAGTAATAAGCCTGGAGCAGTCAGACTCACCCCCATCCCTGCTGTAATGCCCTGTCTAATGGGTATTTTCTCTGGTGTTTGGTGATACATTGAAAGTGTATGCCAGCAAACCTAGACGAGAAAACCAACAATTTTGCCAAGAACAGCTGAGACACCCACAAATTGGGAGAATGTGATTGGGTAATGAACAGATGCAACAGAGGCAGGATAGGAACTGACACAGGAACAACAAATGTTATGATGTATTGTTTTGTTGTAGTAGAAAGCTGGAGATATAGCACTAACTCAATCATAATCTATTCTATCACCCTCGCCATGAAGAAAAGCACATTTTCATTAGAAAACAATCTTGTTAATAATTAAGGTTGGAAACATTCCACAGCTTATTTCCAAACTGTAGCAGGATTGTGTCTTCGTCAGTTTATAAAGTGAGTACATTCCATAGGATTACTCATCGGGCACAGTGGGAAAGAGAAGAGGGGTGGGGAAAAAGAAAGCAAGAAGAAAACTCTTACTGTCAAGTCATAGGCTCAGCTTTTAATTACAAATTATAAATATTTGATGGCTCTGTGCTCTCCCCCTTTTCTCATTCCTATTTTCTGCCTAATTAAGAATTGTAGAGAATTTCAAAGTTTGCACTAACGTTGTGATATCATGTCTAATAAAGACACGACACACATGTATATCTAAATATATCGATATGTGAAATGTTATCTATGCTCTATGGGATGTTTAAAATATTAATAATTAACAAACATTATATAAATAGTTTACAAGTATATGAACAAAAATAAACAAAGCAGATCACATCAGTTATGATGGTTTTGGTTTTGTTTAATGGTAATTTTAATAACAATATTTGATATGCCATATCGTGCCACCTGATTGGCTGGATTTACTTTCTCCATGTCTAAAAAGCAATGTTGTCAAGTTTTGTCTGGAACACATAAGTGGCATGAGTATCATTCATATTCAGGGGTGTCTGCAGGATATAAAAAAAGGATGTTGGCCGTGAGAATACAGTTGAATCCTTGTCTATTTTTATCTTCAAAACATGATTCAGAATGACAACAATCACAATAACACACATTAAAATGAACACGACATCAACTAATCCAAAACTTAAGCCACCCACAATAAAGAAAAAAAGTAAAACATTCTCTATCATGCTTTTTGTCCTAGCTTCAGGTGCTATGGAGATTAAATCGACACCCTCTTCCTTGTGACAGCCCTTCAAGTATGGGAAGACAGCTATCTTATTTCCCATAAGCCATTTCTTCGTTAGGCCCAGTGATGGGATTCAGCCTGTTCGCACCACTTCGGCAGAACCGGTAGCTAATTTTTTGTTGCCCAGGCCCAGAATGGACCTCCAGAGGCATCCACACAGAAAACTGGTTGTTCACATATTTGAATCCCACCACTAGTTAGGCCCAACAAACAGTTTCCTTAGCCATTCATCATACAATTTAGCTTCCAGACCCCTTATCATCTTTGTGCTCTTCTCTGCACTCTTTCTAGGGCCTCAGCATTTGTAACATTTGTTTATATATTTTAATTGCAATATTGTAAACCACAATGAGTCTGCAGTGTGGCAATCTATAATAATAGTAAATAAATCAGTACATTTAATAAGCATTAAACGTGAGATGGATAGCTGTACTTAAGCACTGAGAAATAGGATTTCCAAAACCAAAAATACTTCCTGTATGTTTGCATAGGTTGTGCTTTCTTGTTTGCTTGCTTGCTTCTTCTAACTTCCTATCTCCAAATATGCTGAATTTTAAATAACAGTGTGTGCTCTTCCTTTCAAATTGCTGAAAATGAATTTCTTACTTTGGGACTTATTTTGGGACAGGTGGTTCTTGTGGCTGATCAGGACGATTAACTTGTAGCTGGACTGTCAAACGTGGATCTTTCTCCAATTTCTGCCAGGAGTGAAAGAAGGAAAATAGGCCCTGTAAAAGAGACAGTATAATAGTAACAGATATTTTATTCAGAAGGAAATACTTGCAATTATGGTTGTTGCTTCTGGATATTGTACATCTGTTCATCTTTATAAGTAAGAAATTAATACTTCCTCCATACCAACTTCTAGCGTGGAATGGGACCATCTGAGTCCTGCGGTGGTCCCATGTTTATCTCAGACAAAGGCATTCCAAACTGGCTCATAGCCAGGATATCCTGTCATGAGCTCAGCAGCTCCTCCTACAGATCTGTTACCATGGGATTGCTGACTAGCTAAACTACATTACCCATAAGCCATCTCTTAAGGAGACAGCACTTAACCCAATAAATGCCAAACATTCTAACATACAGATCTACATGCTTTAATCAGGGTTACATGATCCAGAACAATGGATGGAAACTAAACAAGGAGAGAAGCTACCTAGAACTAAGGACAGATTTCTTAACGGTGAGAAAAATCAACTAGTGGAATGGCTTACCTTCAGAAATTGTGTATGCCCCAACACTGAAGCTTTCAAGAAAAGACTGGATAGCCATTTGTTTGAAATTGTATAGGGTCTCCTGCTTGAGCAGGGGATTGGACTAGATGACCTCCAAGGTCCCTTCCAACTCTGTTATTCTGTGTTCTAAATATTACCTAATTACCTGCATTTGGTTACTTTTGCACATCATCAAACATTTCTGTTAATGATTATCAAACTTCATAAAGTGATCATGAATAAACTTTATGCTTTGTTTCTTCAACCAGATCTAGATATGTCCATATGTCAAACCAGATCAAACATATGTCCATAAAAGTATTCCTTCAATTTTGGAAGAAAGTTGGTGCCAAGTCTAGATGTATGGCAAATGGGGTAAGACAGCAAAACCCAAATTTGTAATTGTTCTTATGTGGTTTGTGAGATATGAAACCTACTGTAAACATTTGCTTTTTCTCCTCCAGACTCTGCTTAATTGCTGTCTTAATTGTCTTCAGTGTTGCAATATAGTACTTTGTTGATAGTGGTGCCGGGTTTGAGAAAATCAATGTGAATAATACTATGCCAACACTCTAAACATGAGTTTTTTATTGATTTATTTTTTTACAGGTGAAGCTTGTGATGACCTTCTTTCATCTGATACTTCTTTTCTGGATCATAACGATGAGTCTTATTTCATTGGTCATCATGATGCTGTGGAGAAATTCCTCATCTTCATTCCTGCAGTGTGACAATTGTTTGCAAATTTCAACTTTTGAACCTTTCATCTCTGCCTGAGCATGGATTGGAACACATCTTACACAAAGAAAATCAACAATGTGATCCACACACTTCTGTGAGATTCTAGGCCTGGCAGCAATTTTCCTTTGAGTGAACCACCAATTGTCCTTAATCAGTTGATCAACCTTTCTCATGTGAAACTTATTGTTTGCTGTCACGGCTTCTTGATCACACAAACCAACACTTCCTGGTTCACCATCTTTGCCATTTTTTTTATCCCAGCAATGCACACCACTTAATCACACAGCCACCATCACAAACAACCTGCATTCAGAGACGACTTCAGCAGTCAAAAATTCAGTTATGATGCCTTGTTAGAGCACACTGATGAGTATTTACTACAGACTTCCAGTTCACAAACACTTTTCTCCTACCAAGTGAAGTGGAAGAACAGGTGTTAAAGAAAATGCCAGAGCTTCTAGTGCAGTGGTTCTCAACCTTCCTAATGCTGCGACCCCGCAACCGGTCATAAGTCAAGGACTACCTGTATTTCCCTGCCTGTGAGCACTGCGCATGCGTGGTGCCGCCCCCTGCGCCAGCCGAGGTGTAGCTGGCAAGCGGCAGAGATGGCGCAGGCCGACTACTGGCTGGGCCACCAGCTGGCCCAGCCCAAGGCAGGTAAGGCACCAGCCGGGCCCCACGAGCACCAGCAACCCTCCCTGCACCTGCCGCTGCCCCGCTAGCCTTACCTTGGCCACTGCCCGTTCGGGGCGGCGGCAGGCAGGCCCAGGTGCTCCTGGGTGGCCACGGCAAGCGGCAGCGATGGTGCAGGCCAACCACCGGCTGGGCCACCAGCTGGCCCAGCCCAAGGTAGGTAAGGCACCTGCCAGGCCCCACGCGTGCCAGCAACCCTCCCTGCACTTGCTGGCCTCCCACCTCCCACCCCTGGCCTTCTTTTACTTACTTTTAGTAGTTGCTCAGCAGGGAGGGAAGCTTTTCAGAAAGTTCGCCTTGCAGCACCGTTTGCAGACTGGGGCTTTTGGTGGGCTCAGCAGAGCAGAGACAGCCTGGACAATTCCTATTGGCTTTTGAAAGCCAATAGAATTAGACTCTATTCAACAGAGTCTATTCTATTGGCTTTCAAAAGCCAATAGATTCTATTGGCTTTCGAACGCCAATAGAATAGAGTCTCTTGAATAGAGTCTATTCTATTGGCTTTCAAAAGCCAATAGAAGAAAAGGGAGTAGCACAGCTAAAGAAAAGGGGAAAAAATGGCGGACAGCCTTGTTTGGCGACTCCCGTGAAATGGTCGTTCGACCCCAAATGGGGTCGCGACCCACAGGTTGAGAACCGCTGTTTTAGTGCATTGGTACTGGCCATCTCTTGGCAACTTGTAATATTGGAGGCATTACTTTTCATTCATGCCTTATAGTTAGCAACAGCTAACCTTGTTAACTTTATTAGTACAGTAAGAACACGTCCAGAAACATCATCAATTTGGCAGTCTATCTCTGTGACTGAGAACTAGTTTGGTGCAGTGGTTAAGGCACCTGGGAAGAAACTAGGAGGCCGTGACCTCTACTCACGCTTTAGGCACAAAGCCAGCTGGGTGTCCTTAGGCCAGTCACTTTTTCTCAGCCCTAGGAAGGAGCCAATGGCAAACTATTTCTGAAATCTTGCAAAAAAACCCAAAACGTACAGGGAGTTCACGCAATCAGCAGGAGTCCACGCTGACTCTAAGACACCTGCACACACACACCTCTGTGACTTGGCCTCCTTAACCATCCAAAATGTATGTACAAACCTGTACTTCTTTACAAGCCCACCAAAACGTGGAAAAAAGTACCCTTTTCCCTTTTGCACTTCCAGCAGAGTGGTGAGTAACCACTATACATTTTTGCGAGTCTAGCTGGTGGCAAATGCCATCTATAAAGCATCTTATAAAGATTTTCCTTATAAGTCGTCGCCAATGTGATTTTATTGTTACACTCCCAAATTTGCTGCCATTGGTCCAAATTTATAGCGTGTCCCAAATCTATTGCCCAGGTAACCATTGTTTCTTTGACTTGTTCCTCATATAATTTATATTCTAACATATATTTATATATATTTTTAATTTGTTTTTTCTCTGAACCTGGTAATGTTTTGTCAAGCCCTGTGTCTTGTCTATTAATTCCCCACTCTTTCTTATCTTTCACATATTGTGCTTGTACCTGAAGGTAGGACCACCATCCCAAAACTATTCCCTGTTGTCTCAGCTCTTGTCTTTGCTTTAGATGGCCTTCCTCTGACAGGATATCTTTATATGTAATAACCTTGTCTGTATAAGTTGGAGTATGTAACTGCTTCTAATGGTGAAAGCTTAGGGTTTGGAAATGGATAACAGAAATGACGGGTCAAAAAATCCAATATAAACCAGAGATGCTACTACTAGGAATATTAGAAAAAAAATATAAACAAAGATGATATATATTTAATTATAGATGTGATAATAGCAGCAAGAATTTTGTTTGCCCAAAATTGGAAAGTAACTGAAGTGCCTAGCGGACATGCGCTAATAAGAAAAATTTTGTATTGCGCAGAATTGGATAAGATGACTAAAGAATTAAAAAAAACAGGAGGAAACAGAATACTACCTAATTTGGAATAAATTTTATAAATGGAGGGAAAGAAGAAGGAAGTAGATAGAAGGGCTATAAATAGAGGAAGATTATCAGAAATGTATAGCTCCATATAAATATATAATATTTATTCTTTTATGTACAGTATGGAATGATTAGACAAAGATGTATGTCAAGGATGATACACTACGTTCATTGTTTTTAAATTTCTTTTTTCTTTTTGTACTTAATAAAATAAAAAAACAAAAAAATATATGTACAAAATAAGAATTATATATTATTTTTCTAGCAAAAGTTCTTTCCCTATGTACCGTACCCATGTACAGACTTTTTCTTTGGTTAATGCTGAGCAGAATGAATGCAAATTGCTGTACTTCTAAGAGAAACAGTGAAACTGTAGGCCAGAGGTAGCCAACCTTGGCCCTTTTATGACTCGTGGACTTCAACTCCCAGAATTCCTGAGTCAGCCATGCTGAGGGGAAAGGGAGAGGTTTCCAAGCTGAGCCATGCTGGCTCAGGAATTCTGGGGGTTGAAGTCCACGAGTCATAAAAGGGCCATGGTTGCCTACCCCTGCTGTAGGCCAAAAATATACATTAAGAGAAAACAGTTACAATATAGTGCTCTTATTTGGACCAATCAAAAATAATACTTTCTTTCGTGCGCATGTTATATCAAAAAAAGAAGAGACAAGAGGAAATTTTGAAAGCCTTGTTAGAAAAGGGGAAAGAAGTCCCACCCATTGTGTGGGTTCGCTTTCTATTTACATTTCTGAGAGGCTCCTTGAGAAAAGTGATGCCATTTTTTGGGTACATATCTACCCTTTGCTACCATGTCTGGTAAAGCAGCCACTTCAATTATACATGAAAATTGCAAGCCACAAAAGCAGCTCATTATATATATGGAGAGGGTTATTATTATTACGTTGGCTTGGCTTTGGAAGAAACAATTTGTGCATTACAGTCATTGAAATATCTTAATTTGGAATGAGGGAAGAAAAAGCCAGAATGATTCTGCTGATTTATGGCATAAATGTACATATATTTTGGATTTCCTTCGACAATGCAGCGAGAACTTCCAGATGCTTGAAAGGACGAGGCAGTGATTAACTCTCCCTCCTGATGGTTCTTTACCAGGCAGTTTTCAGATGGTGTTTTCAGCTGAATTTTGGATTTGAGGATGCTTACAACATGTACAGTATTTGCTATTCACCCATCAATCTAGCCTACAAGCACTCCTGGCCTCTGCATTGCTATTATCTAGGCAAATGTGACATTGCCAGTGTAATGGTGACATCCAGTGAGATAAATGGGATAAATCAGGAAGGATACCCTGCTACTAATATAGTAATTTCTCATTCATTCCTCACTGACACAATATATCATCAGTGTTAAGTAGTAAATCATGTAGGAGGGAGTAGTCCATTTCCATACTCTTTGATGATTCAAGGTAAAATGATGAATGGCTTTTCTCTGGCTAGGATTAAAGCTTCTGCTTTACTTTTTCAATTTGCCAGTTATGCTACAAAAACTACCTTAGATGCCCTCTGGGATGTCTTTGCCAAAAGAAGGATAGTTCTATTAATTGTCCTGGACTTCTTCATGGTTTCATATGTAGTCCTCGTCTTACAACCACTGTTGGAACCAAAATTTCCATTGTTGAGCAAGGCAGTCGTTGTGTCCAATTTTATGATCTTTTTGCCATGGTTGTTAAGTGAATCATTGCAGTTGTTAAGTGAATGATGCAGTCATAAAGCATATCTGGATTTCCACATTGGCTTTGCTTATCAGAAGCTGGCTGGGAAGGTTGATCATATGATCCCAGGATATTGCAACTGTCTTAAATACATACTTGTTGCCAAGTGTCCAAATCTGATCATGTGTGAGTGGTTGTAAGTACAAGGATCGGGGTGCAAGTTATTTTTTTTTCCCAGTGCTTTTGTAACTTTGAACAGTCGCTAAACAAATGGTTGAAAATCAAGGCGTACCTGTAGTATGTTAGTTATGGCAGCCTTGTAGGGAATTCCAGTTGGCTTTGGATTTTTTTTCTTACTTGGATAGCCTTTTTCACAAGATGGTGCTGAAGACTTTAGCTTGACTCCTAGAACTTGTGCTTTAGTTTCTGCCCGTTTGATTGTCACTGCATGGTTAATATATAACATATACCAGGGGTCCTCAAAGTTGGCCCTTTTATGATTTGTGGACTTCAACTCCCAGAATTCCTTAGCCAGCATTGCTGGCTGAGGAATTCTGGGAGCTGAAGTCCACAAGTCATAAAAGGGCCAACTTTGAAGACCCCTGACATACACAATACATGAAACAACTGATGAAGGATGGATATGTAGACAGCTTTTAATCAAAAATTGTTGCATGGATGCCTAGCCACAGTCATGGGTGATGGCTGATGAATTGGAGCTCAGACCAAACATAAGGCAGGGTTCTGATGCAGTTGGTGACTCTCCAGGCTAGGTGAATCTTTGCTAAACAGAACAATATCTGTGTTCAAGATCTAGGTTTGTAGTTTCTCCCTGATTCATCTTCGTAGATGGGAGCTCTTTTCTCAACTTCTCAACTGTCTTCTTACCTGATCAGAAATAATTTAATTTTCATGACTGATGCTTTGCTAATCTCATATTTATATTAGGGCAATAAATTGTACTGTATATAAACAGTGGATTCAACTCCCTTAAAAATAGATCAGAAACTTTGCACAAACTAAAATGTGCTGAGCTGATGGGAAAGGAAAAAAAATATCACCAAGGTAAGTAACAGGTAAGTAACATTTCATAGTTTTGTGCCATAAGTCCTAAAATTTACTGTTCTGAAACTTGGGACGTAAACATCTTAACTATTGTAAAGTTTACAATTTTATGAAGTTAGTGCTGCTATGATTTTTTTATTTATTTATTTGACCAGTATGGCTCCTACTG